AAATAACGAGTAACGAATCTATGGAGATAACGAATGAAATTGTTTTTATGAAGACTGCACGGACTACACGTCTTATGGATTATAATTGCAGTGCATACTTACAGTTTCGAATGATTAAGGTCGTCATCGGGTTAGATAAACCGTTGATCTATGGATCGTAGACCGCGGATTTTAATACGTTTATAGGAAATGCGAATATTAAGCCCAATGTTTCGATATTTATTGTGAAACAATCGTCAACGAAAAAAATACAAACGAGTAGTTTTCGGTATTGCTCGATGTTATGGGAAAGTCTTGTTTCGATGTTCCTCGCCATTTCAACGAGAAAAAATTCTAGAAAATCGGCTATTTTTCAGTGGTTCGAATCGGAGCACCCCCCGAAGTTTATTTTGTGCCCATCGAAGGTTGAAACATGCATTAATTGTTTGGCGATGCCGTTGGAAATATTTCGGCGACTCGTTAATTGACAGTGTTTGGGGTAATAACTGAAGGATAATTAAAAGTGTATCGTATGTCGCGCGTTCGAATTACACTTTGAGCGGACCGCGACGGTGTAATCGTTTTCCTCAATTTAATTATAGAGGATTGAACTTTTCGGGAGGTGGGCCGGGGTTTCCGTGCATGTAAATCATAAAGAGCGGAAATGCGCGCGCGAGAGGTTCGAATAATGTAGCTTTTCACCGATGCGGCGCATGCAAAGTCTTCTCAAATATGGAATACTTCATTTTAATTATGAATAATACACGCGAATAGGAGGAGAATAAGAGGAAAACATATTCGACGAAAATTATAAATGCAAGAGATACGATAATATTTCCGTTAGTTTATTTCTGAGCGATTCTCTGTATCGAAATTGTTTTTAAAAAATTTTAAATACGAAATGAGTTTTCGTTACGTCGCGAATTCAAATACAAGTTTCGCTCGATATGAAAATTAGTCGAGGTTATTCCTACGTTCGTTTAACGCAACTGCGATAGCATAATAATGTCACGTGGCACGATGGTTGTTTAACCATAATTGCACGTAAAACCGTATCGCGTATGCACTTTGTCCACTGTCTTTGTGTAGTTCGCATAGTCGCAGCAGTTCGGTTTTGTTACAATATCGTTTATGAGAAACTAGAAACTCATATGAAGACAATACATTATTTTCAATTAACATAGATGGATAGATAATTTTTGTTATACACCTGTGTTTTCGTGTTTTCTTTTCTTTTCCTTTTATTTTCTTACCGTCTCTCTTCTCCTACTATTAAATTAATTAATTCGTTAATATGCATTGCATGCAGAGTCACTTCGCGCAAAGATGAAGTTATTGTATTCGCGAACGATATATACGGGTAAAAGTAGAATACGTGGAAAATATATCCATTGGAAATTTTAAATGGAGAGATACGATGGGGATCCCTATTTATTTATCGCTCGACAGTTTTCACATTTAAATTATTTCCCAGCATTCCGAATGTAAAATTAATTTAGTTACAAACCGAATCGCAGCGCGAAATTTATACAGTATGAAAATTAGATGCGATTATTTATAGGACCGTTTAATACAGCTGTAAGAGTATAACAATGTCACGTGGCCAGCATAATGGTTGTTTAATCGTGGTTCGACTGTATCGCGCATGCATATTGTCCATTGCTTTTCCATAGTTCGCGTAGTTGGAGTACTTCGGTTTGTTTCAATATCGTTGAATCGTACATGATTACGTGGTAGCGATTGGTTGCAAATGTTTGCATTACCAACGCAACCGTAAACAACTCGAAGCGTTTGAACATTGTTACCTTACAGATTGCCCATGAAATTGCTAATTCACGGCGTTGATTCTATGTTAACACCATCCACCATCGTAACATTTTCGCCGATCTCGTTAACCTTAAATCTTTGTTTCGATACCCCTTCAATAAAGTACCGAAGTTAAATTTCTTCTTTTATTTTACTCCCTTGGATACGATTTTTATTTTACTCCCTTGGATACGGTGATAAAGGGTCGCAACGTTCGTACGAGGAATATCGTGATCGGATTTGCTTGAAACTCGATCATAATGCTCTTTGATATAATTAATCAAACGCCTATCGGAATTTAAAAAAATTCAACCCCCGAAGGATTGAAATGGGGTTGCAACGCTCGAACGGGAAATATTTCGTGGTCGGATTTACTTGATACATGGTCTTAATATAGAACAACCCGGGCACAGCTAGTAATAATTAAAATTACTTTAGATCTCGCTTCCAGGGTATAAACAGAAAAATCTATCTGCCCGGAAACTTTCTGCGCGCAACCGGCTGTTTCAATCATTGCTCGACGGAAATCACATTTTTCAAAGAGACGAACTTATACCGTTCTTCTAATGAACGGGCTCGATCGTGGCCGCGGCCGTTCGACGATTGTCTGAAAAAAACGAATCGCGTTCATGAATGGAACATCCGAGAACTTTGAAAAAAATTTGGTTCCCATTGGAATGACTCTCGCGGCGGTGCGAACAGACAGAAATTGACGGCGGGAAAATAACGAACCGTCCGCCGGTCGATTCGTCGCCGCCGAAACAATAACAATCGGCGTGTGCTCGACGATGCGGTAATTAAAATAAAATTAATTGGATTGGTCGTGTGCGCGTTCCCGTACCGGGAACTTTCGAAGGAGATGGCTGCACAGCCGTAGGGGCGTTTTGTGCGTTATTGCATATAATGCACTGTTTATTCTGCGTTCTCCCTCTACGGCCCCTTTCGTGTACATGCAAGGGTACATACGCGTCAATCCTCTCCTTCTCTCTTCTTTGCTCTTTAGGAATCTCTTCGGTTCAATTGGGTTGGTCAAAAAATTCGTTCGGTTTATTGACGAGGACTTTTACAAATCATGAATTTCGCCGAAATATGAAACGAAATGGACAATGTGTTATAGAGAAAATACATTAGGGGGGGCTGAGAAGCAATCAAAATTTTCGTTTGCTGGCGAAAAACATTTATTTATTCAAGAAATCTTAAATACTAATAAACAAAGCAATTTCCATCATTTTATAACATTTTTTTACCATCATAAAGGCTGTCCCCTTTTTGGAAAAAGTTCTTCGATTTTTCGTTGAGAAACTTTTCCAAGCCGAAGACACTTTGATATTTTCTTCTCTAAGAAGAATCGCTTTAAACGCTTAATTAAAAACAAAAATATATCTGGATAATATCCCTGAATTCCGATAAGTAAACAACAAATATCGTGACAAACCTTAGATTACTTCGTCTCCATTTATTTTCGAACAAATTTTGGCAAACGTTCCTCGTGCAAACTTTCGCAAAAATTAGCGTGGCAACCAACGTGTCAAAGAATAATTAATAAATCCTAATCGTATATAAGGAATAAGTCCAGGTTAATATCGAGATGGTAGTAGAACAGTTCGCATGTAAAAATGATCGAAATCGGAATTTGTATCGCGATGTCTGTGCCCCCTACTTCGTCTCTTTATTATCTCGTTCGTAATTCATATTACGCGACCGCGTCTCGCGCAATAATTCATTTCAACGAGCTTTCGAGATTTAGCCGTTCCGTACGACCGATCGATTCACCTTTTCTCGATGGAACTACGCGAGCAGCTCATTAAAATTTCACCGGGAGAGTTGTCTTGATCTTTGATTTGCTCGAGAAACTTCGCTCCGGCCGTGGAACCTTGCGGGGATCAGACCGATTTCAGCTTCAAATTCACTTTGACTTCGACCGGTGCTCGGATTCCCACGGGATACATCGACGGACTGTTGGAAAGCTCTTCTTCTCGTTTTACTGGAAAAATCGAGCAAAGATACTCGCTCCATTTTCGTTATCTCGATGGGCGCCTGTTAAAGTACAGCTGCACTTAAAGTTAGAAAAGAAATCTTCGTTTCGACGATCCGCGCTCCCACGTGAGACTTTCTAAAAGGGAAGTAACTGACTCGAATGATCTATTTCCAAAATTGGTTCGTTGAAAATAGTATTTATTGAATTCAGCCTGAATATATCCTGAAACGCGCTGCTTCGATATTTCCTTCGAAATTTCCTATTCGTTTTCTCGAACGTTACCAAGAGTAGGTGTTTATGTTTATATGCAGGACGTGTCTGAATTCTAAAAATCTTCTTAAGCAACTGTATCGAATAACAAATCAGTATGGTCAACGTGTATACTGGGTTACGGTTAATAATTTTCGTCACTCGTGGCACGAAATCGCGAAAACAAATTGCAGGAAACATTGCAATAGGAATTATTTCTCGTTGGTGCATGCATGGGGCTCCTAAATCCAATAATGATCCGAATATTACCTTGAACGTAAGGTTTCACATTATTTCCATCGTGTATCGGCGTAATTTTATAAACACTTTGAAAATTTTACGTTTGGCTTCGCGCGCTGAAATTGCTTGCCGTTTTAAGGTTTCGTCTACTTCGGAGGAAAATAATTACAAAATCACAGAACGGAACACTTTAAATCTTTCGTCAGCCCTTTTGAGGAGCCGCATTTGTTCAGCTTCCGGGGCTCGCTTTCAACTTCGGCGAACGCTCTTCGTATTTCGAGGCGTATTCGAAAGCGAGAAACGCGAACAATGCAAATATTTCATTATTAAACAGACATCGGAACGCAGAAGAATCGATATAGAATATTTTTATTACAGCGCTGTCGTTAATCTGTCCGAAATAATCGACGTATCGAATAAAATTACTTTTTCAATTTTCCGTTCAAAAAATATGTTTCGGCGACACATTCAAATTCCACGGGACAATGAAATGTCACAGGCTCGGCGCGGTTCATTTCTGTTAGGTTATATAAAAACTAAATATCGCAGTCCGAACGATCGTTGAAGCATTTACGATGTAACTAACGTTTCCCGAACATTTAACAGTTCGAACGGCAAAATTATCGAGTAGGATCATTTTCTGCGTAACGAAAATCGCGGAGGCTCGTGATCGGATATGACGAACTGATCTGGGGTAAACCGAACCAATTGAAACTAAATTAAATAAGTGGCGAGGAATCGGACGAAAATGGCCGAAAACGAGGAAACCGACGAAGAGTTCACTGACGCTGAAGACACGGATGCGGTGGAGACTGAAGCAACAGTGGACACTGATGCTCCGGGGGATGAAGCAACCGAAACCGAGGATGAAACACAAAAACGAACAGGAGGAGATGACGAAGGCACCCCGCGAGTAGAGAAGAAAACATCGGTAAAAGTTAAGAAGAAAATCGGGGGAAAGAAACGGAAATTTTCCATGGAGAGATGCACGAAGAAAAGGTGGACTTGCGACGACAAGGCTCTGTGGCGTATTTACATGAACACGTAAGAAAAGTCGTAGACAAGTAAATAGGTACGAACGACGAGATTGTCGCGTGCTAAGTTTCGCAATTTTCTCAGGTTCGTGGAGGATCAGGAACAGTTGGAGAAAGACGACATATTCAAACAAAGAAAACCGGCCAATCTGCGAAAATTTCCGCGCGTTCAATCGGAAGACGATTTATCTGCTCCTCACAGATGCCTGCCTCTCTCCGCTTTCCAGTTTCGCGATCAGTTGGCCCTGCCCGATAAACGGGATCGCTCGAAAATGATCCGAATTTGGAGGAATATGAGATCCAACCCGCCGGTTAGCAAATCATTGGACAAATTACAGAAGCGAAATGACAGTAACGATTATTAAACAAATTTCACTATGCGAACCTTACCGGGGCTGTTTATAAAGTTACAAATTATAATTCGATGTAATTCTGTCGCACGATTTATTTATTTGTGCGTTTAACCTTTCGAAGGAGCAATTTTAAATGGATATTCTTTTGCTTCGATTCAATACACAGGAACCAAAGCAATTTTCATCTGTAAATCGATTTTGAATGTTATACAGTCGGCCCCATAAATATTACCCTCTACGTCTATCGAAGCAAATTATTTCAATTAAATGGTAGGTTTGATGTTTTCGAGAGTATTTTCGTACAAATATGTGTATAGGGCATTCCGAGTCATTTCGATCACTTTTGGACCCGACCATTTTTCACTTGGCTGGAATTTCTTTGTATTATAGTACCCTACTAGATGTTTGTGAATTTTTGCAGATTTTTGTACTGTACCAAACAAAAAAGTTATGAATTTAATAAAAAAAGAAACGTCATTTTTTCTTCAGATAGCTGTAGCTCCCATGTGTAAGTTTATACGCATATTTATCATGAAAAAATCATGTGATAAAATCAAAACTGTTATTTAATTTAGTTAAGCTTCTTCGATAGACATAGACAGTACGAATATTTCGGTCTTCAATCATTCAATATTGTTTGAAATGTATCGTTCCTACAGGTACACGCGACCAAGTCAGACACGGAAGTGACACCTCGCGTTTCGAAGACCGACAGCCAGAAATGGCCAGGTATGTGGCCGTGCACGCAGCGCGATTTGATTAGGGAACTCGAGGAACGTCGACGTCAGAGGAGGGCTCAGAGGAAGGATTTGTTCCCGTGCGATCCAGACGACGAGGACGTCTCCGTCGATCCCAACAAGGACTTTTCCGATCGCAAGGAATTAGGTCACGCCAGAATACCGCAAGTGTGCCCCTTACCCACCAAAGAGACGCTAGTCGATCGGGCTGCTGGCGAACAGGCCGGCTTAGTCGACGGTGATTACATCATTTTCGAGTTACCCTCCAAAGCGAGGGGTAACAGGGTCTACGCCGATGTATGTCTTCGTGGTCTGAAGGGTATGCACTTGCCGGAACTGGGACTGTTACGACAGCGTCAAAGCACGTGGAAGTTCTGCTTTTATCAAGCTGTCGTTGCGCTTTTGGCCAAGACACAGCTGAGGTAATTCCTTGTTTATTTGGAAGTCTGTCTACCTTCGAGTCCTGATAGTTTAACGACCAGACTGCGGATCTTTAAGCATTTATAGGAAATTTGAATGTCCAAGTACCTACAAAATGGAAACAATATGCAAGAATATGATAAAGATTGAAAGTAAAGTTCGTGTTGTAATATTTGCAGAATAAAATAAATTCCTATATAGGTTCAATTTTTGTAGGCACGTTCGCGAAGATTTGATTTTGCATAGAGATCCGCAGTCTATTAATGACATTTGAGATTTTTTGGCGAGATGAAATTTTCTGATACCAGAAGACTCCCACAGCGACACTTAAGGAGAGAAGCTGATGTCTGAAAGATTTATGCGTGAAATGGGTTGTCAACGTTACTTTGACAACGTTGAACGTCTTTTATTTTTAAAAAGCTCAGCAAAAATGTAAAATATCTAATTTTAGACCCAGGAAAAAATGACTCCTTACCTCGACAATTAACTTTCGCTTCGTTTGTACCAATTAACCCGTTGCCAGGGTTCACCACCAATATTTGTTTAAGTTTGATTTCTTTAATCCTTTATTTACCGAATTTCTCAAAAGTTTTTGAAATCTAACCGTCCATCTTTGTTCTTATATCATCATGCAGAGAACAAGTTTCCGAAAAGAAGCTTGTGATCTTGAAAGTCACAAATAGAGTTGAATTAATACCGTACCATGGAAAAATTGTCTTACAAGTCCCGCCAGTAAATAAAGGGTTAAAATTCGAAGAGTCACTAAAATGGTTCTCGGTGAGACAAAGGTGACCCGATTCTCAATTCTCAAATTAGAGATCTCATTTTCGAAGTTGATCCAAGCTTAACATTCGCGGCAATATGCTAAGCGTCTCGAGTTGCTGATGAGAACAGAAAAAAGAAAGAGTTAACATAGAACCATACTTTCACAAGATACAAGTACGCATGGAGCGCGAACATCGATTACATCTACGAGCACGCGTGGATGCTGTACACCCACATCGGTACGATCAACGTGAAGAAGAAGCAGAGGCTGGACGACATCGTCGTGTACAATTACAAATACAGCATCGAGGTGGAGCTGATCAGAGAATTGAACGACGTTCCCATCGTGACAGGCGTCGGCTGGGATTTCGAGGAGGACAACTTGAGGCGAAAAATGCAATTGGAACGAAAGGAGTTGATGAACGTTCGATTGGAGATCGGCTCGGAGAAGATCACCGACCAGCAAAGGGCGCCCGTTCACAGAGGCACGAAGAAGATCGAGGATTGGTTCGACAAGCTGAAAATACGTTATCGCAACTGCATACTCCGCACGACGAGATTCTGCCTGGCGTTCTGGAGAGACAATACCTTCTGGTACCTGTACAATCCGTATCGATGCGACGAGTTCGGTTACTGGGACGACACGGGTCGCGCTTGCATCTTAAAATTCTGCTCGAGGAACTCGCTCAGACGCCACCTGATGATACTCTTGTTGAGAGCGTACGTGCACGCCATCCCGAAGTCGGACATGCAGAGAGCTAAGGAGGCTGCGCCTAAACCTCCGGAGCCGGTGTTGTTCGGGGAAGATGCGCCCAAGTTGCCAGAGCCAGTCGAGGAAGTATCGTGGGAGGAGGAGTTCTATACGATCCAGATATACCACGTCACGCATCACTGTTGCCAGATCCACAATTTGAAGCTTTTGCAACGAAGCGCGCCCAAGCCACCGCGACGCCTAGCGAAGAGGAAGACGATCGACGACTGTCCGTTCGATCCTCTGGACGTTCGGGATCCGTGCACGATCGAGCAAGAGGAGGGAGACGCGAAAGACGCGATCGAGAAACCGATATGGCTGAAACTGTACAAGATCATTTGGGCCAAGTGCATGGCCGCCACTCAGAAGAAGAAGAGCGCGAAGGAGGCTGGCACCGGTAAAATGCGATGGCATCAGTACGTCGTGGAGGAATCGAACAAACTGTTCTCTCTGTGGGGAGAGCTGCACATCAGTGACGGGATGTTCGAACGGGAGAACCGAGGGATGCAGACATACGCTTGTTACGTGGTCTGCGCGGGCATGACCAGGATCATGGCGCCGGAGTACTGGAGCTCGAAGACCCTCGACGTGATCGTCATGTGCGGTGACAGATACTACACCCACAGCAAGCTGGAAGCGGAGTTCAAGTCGACCAAGAACGAGTACAGTCACGTGAACTGTTGGAACAGGTATTTAATATACTGTTGTGCCTTACCGCGTGTTCGTTTCTGTAGTCGTTTAGTATGTAGGCAATCAAGTTGGATAAGTTGGTCAAGTGTGTTTGTAAGAAAAGTAAGGAGAAGGGTTCGTACTTATACAATATGCTGTTTCATGAAATTTATTTAGAATATTTTCATAGGTTCCATTGAGAAGGAAACAATTTAACAAAATTGTACATGTTTTCGTTGTCGTCACACATTCAGAAAAGGGCTTCAAAGTTACATATAAAAATATAAAGCTGTCTAAATCTTTCTGAAAAGTAATTAGATACAAATGTGAAGAAAATAATTTAACACAATTGTATGTATTTTCATTGGCCCCACGCATGCAAAAAAGAGCTACAGAGTCATAGATACATATGAAAAAATAAAGCTGTCCTTATCTAGACGCAATTATTTCCTAGATACCTGATGAGCCACTTCAAGATAGGCGAGACGATATTCGAGGCAAAGGTTCTGCCAGCGATCTGCGGAAGACTGTACTCCAAATCTAACAGATACCTCTGGCAAGCGCTGGAACAGATGTTCCTCAAGTATCACTTCGGCATACTCACGTGCGAGAGCTCGTGCCTGGGCGTGTTCAAGTTTTGCGGAGCTTATTACATGTGCGACGTGAACTCCTTTGGACCGCCACTGTTTACGTACGGCGAAGGCGCGGCGTATTTACTCCGAGCCACGTACTTCTACAAATTCATGACGGTTCTGGTGCTCACGGTTGGTTCGCCCGAGTGCAGCCAGTTCGCCGTGAATCCCATCGAAATTTTAAAGGTCGTCGAGGTAGGACCCACCGCCCTTCCAATCGGGAGATTCGAGAAAAAGAGGGACAAGAGGATCACCAAAGTGGAGTGTCCCTACGACGAGGAGAAGAAGAAACAGATGAAGAAATGGAAGCACAGGAGACAGGAAACCACGCGGACGATTGATAAGATGTGTTGCAAGGGTGCTGAATGATATGTCAGTTTCTTTCTTTCGTTAGAAAACCTTGGATCTTTGTGAGTATAGTAGATCGAGTTCGTTGATTTCGTTGAGTCAGTACTGTTTGTGATATGATTTATTCGTAATCGTATTTTGTAACTACGAATCATGTAATTTGTAGCTTTTTAAGGGGAGATGTAATTAGAAGGATAAAAGACAATTAATTTGTGTCATATTTTTTATTTGACGGGTACTAACGTGTCGTTAGTCTCCTGTCGCAATTTCAATTTAAAATCTCCATTTCCTTTAAATAGTCAATACAACAAAGAAAAATAACGAAAAATGTACGAAGAACCTGTTTCCAACAGTACAAATATATATTGGCGCAGTTACGATTTATTAATACGAACCGTTACAATACCGAATTTAATATTTTGCATCTAATCGTACAACTAGAAAAACGTTGAACGCACTAATTCTTTTTGTATGAATTTCGAACCGACACGAGGCCATTCTTCCAAAATTGCTTGCTGCGGTTTTGTTAGGCGATGTCGTTTTAAAATTTGTTTTCCCTCGAGGAATAATTGCTGCGAAAATCGATGCGTCTCTGAATCGGTAATGTTAAATACACTTAACGAACAGATAAACCGATGCGCACCCATTTCGTTTCGCGGTTAAAATTCCTTTGGAAATTTGACCGATATAGCGAAATTTAAGTGTAATTAAACGCCAAGGATGAAAAGTTGGAAGAGAACCGTGCTGGAAACGGGAAGTTGAGGCGACGTTGAATAATCGATGGCGGAAAGGGCTCTCCAAACGGCGGGAATAAAAGTAGCCGCGTTTAAGTCGATCGTCTTTAGGTCTCAGTGCAGCGGCGACACAGAACTTATTAAACTTGCACCGCAGAGAACCGTCTTAGTTCTCTGGTCGCCCTCGGGATTTATGTACTTACCCGGAACTTGCCTCGAACTCGGCGAACTTACGGTGTCCATGAGTTGGCGCTACTCAGCCGGGTGGTCTCTTGCCCCTATCGCACAATACTAATAATATAATCGTCGAGGCACGTAGAACTAACTTCGGCTACAACGACGAGAAACTGTCGAGGGATTTTAATCACTGATCCGTTTCCGTAACGAGGTTACATCGGGATACACCGGGTGTCCTGAAATGGAAACGACTCGTTCAGCCAGGATCCACTCGAATACGTACGACGATACTTCTTCTCGAGATTGACGTGCACGCAATATTCTGCTCGTAATACGTTTCTTTTTGGGGGAAATATTGCGAGCGACATCAACGTACGCGGTCGAAGATTAATTTTAATTTATTGGCACTACGTTTCGAATGTAAATATGACGTAAATGACGTACTTTTAGAGAATAGAATTTTGAAAGAGAAATACGTAGAACAACAGAAATTATTTTTATTCCTCTCGAACACTAGCAAAATTACACTAATAAAAACATCGTTTAGTCGCTGAAAGAGCAATGCTTTACGCATGGAAGGAATGCGAACGGAAATTAAATAACATCCCTTGATTCGTATGTCGAGTCAATAATTTATTTCACTGCCTATTATACACATCGAACTGTAAGCTGTATGTACAAACGTATTTACACCCTAATTCCGTATTTACACGCCCCTCCCGTGTAGTAAGGGAGGGAGGGAAACCTGACGGATCTCGATCTCCTTGACAGCCGGTCAAAAACTACAAGCCCAACGCCAATATCCCAACTACGCCACTTCGAGGTCCGAACTGTCGGTGTCTTGTTCGTGTTGTTGTTGCTGTTGCTGTCTGGTCAGCATCAGATGGTCGGTCACTTTGACCGTAGCCGTGGGCACGCTGTCGTCGGTACGCTGACGTTGCTCCAGCTGAAGTTTCCGCATACGTTCCTGTTCTTCCCGTTTCTGTTTACGCCACTTGGCGCGCCTGTTCTTGAACCACACCTGGAATTAGAAACGTTTCGCTTAAGGTAAACTCGACGGTTGCGTTTATTTAGTACAAAATTCCTATCCAGGAAACTGTTTTTGTAACAAGTCGCCAGCAGTGAAACTGTCTGAAGTTTGCCAACTCGAGTTCCCTCGCTGTATGAGAGAGATGATACGAATTTCGTGTACATCGACAGGTACAACGTCGATATTTTTCTTTTATTTGGGATATTAGAATCCAAACAATTTTGCATTTATAATATTTAAGAAGTTTCGTTCAAATAAATATCTAAGGCTTCTTGTGATTCATTTATACACACAAGTATATAAATATACTGTATAAGAGAGTTAATATTAAATTCGTGTACATCGACAGGTGCAACGTCGACATTTTTCTTTTACTTAAAATATTAAAAACCAAACAATCTTGCACCTATAATATTCAAGAAGTTTCATTCGAATAAATGTCAAAGGCCTGATCCTCTTATACACGCGAATATTAATATCGAATTCGTGCAATTAAAAACCAAACAATTTTGCATCTATAATATTTAAGAAACTTCTTTAAAATAAGCGTCCAAGTCTTCTTGTGATCCTCTTATACGAATATTGAATATACATAGAACACCGTGACATCGCTAGTAAATAAAATACTTAGATTTCGAAATATTAGTTGCCTCATTTAAGTGGGTTATCCTCTAATTATATTGAGCAACGCAACGACGCGCTCGTCGAGCATAAATTCGTTATTATTACCTGTATCGTAAAATTATCGAGAGGTTATTTTCCAGTGGAATTGACGCGACGTTTAATTGATAACCCCGTTTACCCGCGCGTCGGCGTATTCATCGCGAGGACTCTTAACAAGGCGAGGGAACTGACGAAGATCAAAAGGCTTCATCCCACATTTGAAATCAGCATTTGTTCGTCACGCTTGTCTGACTCGATTTAAGTGAAGGCCGACAATCGATATTACCGCCGTTAGCGATAGACTTTCATCGGTACGGATGCTGCACTGATCTCTTAATAAATTACACTTTAATCGTACGTCTGTGCACGTTCTATCCATCTCTGTTACATCAAAGACAACGCTTCTCCTAATTATTTTCTGTTTTCTTTAATGAAAGAACGCTTTCCTCTTAATTCTCAAACTATCGAATTACGATCCTCTTCGTTCGAATCTCACGAATTCTATTTCCTACCCGGACGAACATTTCACGGTGGTTCGACCATAAAATCTCACGTACAAATAAATTGTCCAAATAAATTGTCCCTGTAATCACTGTTTTCACGTCTCTGCTTTTATAGCTCGGCACCTGTCGTCCGCGTTTCTGCATTTCGTTGGTGCAATCGCGAGACGGCAGAGACCGTCGCACGGGTAAATAGTCGTGCTTCTTTCCAAACACCGGATGGAGTGCTTTAGGCTCTCTCGAGCTGTTTCACGTCTTTACTTTATTTCCGCCTCTTTCCTCTTTTCCCGTCTGAAAAGTCGCCTTTCCACTAATTCTGTACAAACACCCGAAACTCTTACCTCGGCCTGCGGCAGGTGCGCTGCAGGTATATGTTGTTTCAAAGTCTTTAAAGACTCTCGAGACCAGGGATTTTCTTTGGCCGAGCCGACGATGCGGGTGGTCCGTCGGCCGGCGATAAGTGTGAATGACTTTGGGATTGTACGATTGTTCCAGCAAATTGTCCGGCCGCGAGTGTAGAAATTTCCCTCGATCTCAGCTTTTACGTTAACTACCGAAACTTGTTATCGCCACTTCGTATCGATCGTTCGGTGTTTAAAGAAGAAACGGCTGTTAATTATTAACGCGTTAATAACTCTAAGATTCCACCACGGACTTTGTAATAATCGTTCTTTTTGTAAAGTTCTCGAGAAACGATCTGTAACGTTCTTTCAGGAAAAGATCGATGGACCACAAACTTGTAAATTTTTCATTTTTATTTTCATTGTAGTAACTACGAAGAAGAATGAAGATGATTCGAAAGTGTAGGATCCGAATGATTTTTATTTCTAGAAAAAGAAAAATGATGTTCGTTTAGTCTCGATAGTTAAGATGTCTCGATTCGAGCTTCGGAAGCTTATTATTTTACGTTGTAATGTAATGTTTGTAACTTGAGCACGATTTGCGTTTGAAATTAACGTAGATAAAACCCGATATATCGAAATTGATTTTAATGTATTAAACCCTCTCTGTCACGTTATTATTAAATACACTCAACAGTTTCCAATTTATTATTAACATTTATCATATTTCATCGAAACGTAAATTATACACTTTCGAGGTGAAATGTTTGATGCTATTTTATTCTCCGACTATAAACGTATACTTTCGACTACACAAGCTTTGAGTCACGAAATACCTTTATGGCGGTGCATGCACTTTTCAGGTTTATTTATGTTATACAACAGTCCACGAGATTACAAACCCGTGGGTTAAATAACACAGAATTTTTTTAAGTTAGAACGTGTTGACAGAATTTGACCAAACAGTTTACATAAATATTTTAAGTTAAACTTTAATTTAAACATGTATTAATTTAAACAAAAATTATTAAGCCTATCTGTTTGAATATTTATACAAAAATTTGCGCGTAGTTCGAGCACTTGTAGGAATTTTGTCAAGTATTAATGGTCGTTCGTTGTCGAGTAACATATTGTGCCGCGCTATTGTGTCGAAAAATATAAAAGAAATTTTTTAAATAATATTCAAAATGCAGCCTTGTCCACGAGAAAGTATGTCACTTTTTAGCGCCTTTATTTTCCAGTAACCTAAAAAGTTTTCCACGTACAAAGCTAATCCTAATTTACAGGCCATTATCTCACGTGACTGCAAACTTTCATGTCAATCGGTTCGGTTCGAAATATCTCTGTAAATTTTTCAAACTTTAACAATCAGGTTATCGATACATATTCTCTCAAACTAAAATTAAACGAATCATAGAAAACGATGAAAATTGATTTCTTCGACGATTTAGACCAGACTACCCTTTTAAGAACACCCTTCGTGATCTTACAAAAAGTCCCTTCTTCCACAAAAAAGGCATTTGCCCTCGAAAGAAGCAGTAAACTGAAACTGAGCATCAATCTCCTCGCGATCCTTCTAAATAGGACTACAATGCTGCGCTGGAAAAGGGTTCTTTCGACAATCCAGCCTCAATGACACCGTCCTAAGTCCTTTCAGTTATCCTTCCAGCAACGCGCTGCGTTGTCGAGTGCCGAACCGTTTTCAACCATGACAAACATTCGTGCAACGGCTGCGATATCTTATCAACTATCCGAGTATTGTTTAAAATATTTACCATCA